GATTTTTTTCTTTCAGAAATGTAAAAATGTTATATTACTGTCTTAATTTTTCACACGACAAATGTGAAACAATATGGCTGTCATTTGTATTGCTTTTCTCCCTTCCCCAACACATACTCACTGCTTTTAAGATTGTCTCTTTATCTTTGGTTTCATCAGTTTGACCATGCAGTTCCTAGGTGTCATTTTCTAGGAATTATCAAAACTTGAGTTCACTAAGTTTCTTGAATACGTGGATTGATACTTTTCTTCAGATTTAGGAAATTTTGGGGCATTCCTTCTCAAAATAAGCACTGGATATCAAACAAGGAATATATTTGCTGACATCAGATGGATCTTGGCTGAAATCAGAGAATGCTAGAAAGATGTTTACTTGTGCTCTATTGACTATGCAAAGGCTTTCAACTGTGTGCGTCATAATAAACTATGGATAACATTTCGATGAATGGGAATTCTAGAAAACTTAATAGCGCTCATGTGGAACCTATAATTAGACTAAGAGGCTGTCGTTAGGACAGAACAAGGGGATAGTGCATGATTTCAAATCAAGAAATGTGCATTTAAGAAGCTGAACTACATGAAGAAGAGAACGACATCAGGATTGGAGGAAGACTCATTAACAACCTATGATAGGCAGATGACACAATCTTGCTTGCTGAAAATGAAGAAGACTTAAAGCACTTAATGATGAAGATAAAAAAAATACAGCCTTCAGTATGTTTTGCACTTCAATGTTAAAAAGCAAAAATCCTCACAACTGGACCAGTGAACAACATCATGATAAATGGAGAAGACATTGAAATTATCAAAGATTTCATTTTACTTGGACCCACAGTCAGTGCCCATGGAAGCAGCAGTCAAGAAATCAAACAACGTACTGCATTTGGCAAATCTACTACAAAAGATCTCTTTAAAATATTAAAGAACAAAGATGTCACTTTGAGATGTAAGGTGTGCCTGAACCAAGCCATGGTATTTTTTATACATGTGAAAACTGGACAATATATAAATAAGGAAGACTGGAGAAGAATTGATGCATTTGAATTATGGTGTTGGAAAGAATATTCAAAGGACTAAGGACTGCCAGAAGAACAAACAAATCTGTCTTGGAAGTACAGCCACAATGTTGCTTAAAGCGTAGAACTGTGAGACTTTGTCTCATGTACTGTGGACATGTTATCAGGAGGCACTGCTCCCTGGTAAAGGATATCATGTGTGGTAAAGTAGGGGGTCAGTGAAAAAGAGGAAGACCTTCAAGGAGACGGGTGGCACAGTGGCTGCAACAGTGGGCTCAATCATAACAGTTGTGAGGATGGCACAGGGCCGGCTGGGCATTGTTTCCTTCTGTTGTACATAGGGTCGTTATAGGTCAGAGCTGACTCAATAGTGCCTAACAATATCAACAACATAGGCAGAGTCTTGTTTTATGGACCAGCATCTGGTGTATCTTGGTAACAGTAGCATGTGTGGCTGAAAAGAATGTTGGGTATAGAATTCTATAAATATTAAATAGGCCAAATTAGCTATTGTTTTTTCAGATCTTTCATATCTTGTATTATTTACTGATAAAGGGATGTTAAAAGTGTCAACTATGAGTGTAGAGTTATCTATCCCTCCCCCCGCAATAGTTCTTATCAGTTTTTTGCTTCGGGTATTTTAAAGCTCTTTTACTTTTATTTATTGTATATGTATGTCAGATGTTTCTCTTTTGATGAATTAATCTTTGTATGATTATGAGTCAGAAATGATTCAATGGCAGTGAGTTTGACTAGTTGGTTTTGGACCATTATGAAAGAACCCTCTTTGTTTCTAGTAGAATAATTCTCTTTGTCTTGAAGTCTACGTTTTTTGTTATTAATTTAACCAGTCCAGCTTTCATGTGTCTTCTCAGCCTTTTCACTTCAAATCTGCATGTCTTTGTATTAAGGATGTGTTTTGTTGTGTTTTTTTTGTAAATAGCATTAAAGAATAATAACAGTTGCCATTCAGTCATTTCTAACTCATGCTGGCCCCATGTGTGTCAGAGCAGAACTGTGCTCCATAAGGTTTTCAGTGGCTGCTTTTTCAGAAGTAGATCTCCAGGGCTTTCTTCCTAAGTGTCTCTGGGTAGACTGAAACCACCAATTTCTAGTTAGCAGCTAAGCATATTAACTGTCTGTACTACTCAAAGACTGCAAATAACAAATAACAAAACCAAACCCACTGCCATCCCATCAATTCTGCTTCCTAGTGACCCTATGAAAGGACACAGTATAAATGCCTCATAGGGTCTCCAAGCTTACGTCAGGTTAGGTTAGGTGCCATAGAGTCTGATCCAACCCTATACACAACAGAACAAAACACTGCGTGGTCCTGTGCCATTCTCGTAACTGTTGATATGTGTGAGCCCTTTGTTGCTGCCACTATGTTACCAATTTCACTGGTGACCTTCCTCGTTTTTGCTGACCCTCCACTTCACCAAAGATGATGTCCTTCTGTAGGGACTTGTCCCTCCTGATAGCACTTCCAAAGTACGAAAGATGACATTTCCCCACCCCGCTTCGAAGGAGCATTCTGATTGTACCTCTTCCAAGACAGATTTGCTGATTCTTCTGGTAGCCCGTGATCCATAGAGTCTCCAAGGCTGTATGTGAATCCTTACAGAAGCAAAATGCCACATCTTTCTCCCATGGAGTGTTTGATGGATTCAAACTGAGAATTTTTAGCATCCTAGTGCTTTAACCACTGTGCCATTAGAGCCATCGAGTCAATTCCAACTCCTAGCAATCTTACAGGACGGAGTAGACCTGCTCCTTAGGGTTTCTGAGATGATAGATATTTTCCAGAACAGACAGCCTCATCTTTCTCTGGTGGACTGGGGTGGGTGTGAGCCACCAACCTTCCAGTAACCAGCCCCATGCTTAACCCATAGTGCAAACAGGGTCCTTTATGAATAATATACAGTTGGGTTTCACTATACTACATTCTGAAATGTCTACCTTTTAATTGAAGTAAACACCTTGTTTTTAACATCCATTTTTGCTGCTCTGGGTACCTTTAGTCAGTGCATAGTTCGCTATAGTATGCATCCCCCATATTTTCCCACTGCTCTCGGTAATGGGGAGCCCTGCTAACCTAGTGGGTTACTCATTAAGCTGTTTGAATCTGCCAGCCACTGAAGGAGGAAGATGAAGCTTTTTGCTCCTGTAGAGATTTATAGTCTTGGAAACCCGATAAGGGTCACTATGAGTCGAAACTGACTTGATGGCACACAACCAACAACCTCTGTGGTGAACCCCTGGATTGCCTCCATCACAAATACTGTTGTTGTGATGGCCCCTTATGAAGCTGAGTAAGAATCTATGTGGGATATTTACCCAGAGTAGAGTTGATGGCTTACAGGGGCGTGGTTGTTACTGTTGCTAGTACTGTCTGTTGTTGTTGTTGTTAAGTGCCTTCGAGTCGGTTCCGACCCATAGCGACCCTGTACAGGGTTTCCGAGGGTGTAAATCCTTACGGGAGTAGAAAGCCTCATCTTTCTCCCGCGGAGCGGCTGGTAGTTTCGAACCGCTGACCTTCAGGTTCGCAGCCCGATTCGTAACCACTTCGCTACCAGAGCTAGTACTGTCTAGTCAGTTCTAATTCACCAGTTCTCAATTTCACTGAGTATTGAGATTTAACAGTATATCTGTGTGCTGGTGGGAATGATCCAGAAGGATGGGGAGCTGTGAGGAGGAGGAGGAGAGGCTGGGGAGAATTGCTGTAACCACATTCTGAGAGGACCTATTGGACAAACCAGGGTGTCAGGGGTGTTCACCCCAGCCAGGACCAGGGAAAGTTCATCCACAGAAAAGGAGAGGAGGTGGGTCATCCTGGACCAGAAGCAGGCAGGGTAGATGTGGTGGTGAGAACTTGGGGAAATTGTTTTCTGTGGCTTGTTTTCACAACCGAACGGAAGCAACCTGAGAGTCAGGGTGGAGGAGGAGGTACTGGCCGTTTGAAAAGAGAAGAACGGTATGAAATCATTATCTAGGAAATGAGGAGAGAGCACGGACCATGGAAACAGAGTCTGATTGCCACTTAGGGTGAGTGTGAATGGGCAGTGCAGTCTGTGTGTCCATCACGCTCATAGAGAGGCCCGAGCCCAGAGCAGGCTCAGGCGGCTCACTAAGCAGTGCAGTAAGACATTGGAGAGTTCTCCCTCGTGGGTGAGGCAGCAGCAAGCAAATGGCTGTGCAGGGGGAGTCTGGGTGTAGTGACCGTGCAGTGGGCACAGGGCTGCCTGTTTGAGTGGGAAGGTGAAGTCCTGTCCTTGCTGTGAGCCTGCTGCCCTGCAAGGTGTCAGTTCTTAAGGCTGTTTATCCATAGCCTTTAGTGTGTGTTACAAAAGCAATGCATACCATACCAAAAGAACATACAAACATGCGAAAGTAAATTAAAAAGTCAAGATCACCTGAAATTTCATCTCAGACTCCAAAGGTCGATAACGATGATTAGTCAGCATTTTGTCATGCTGTTTTTAAAGGAAAGGTCTGGTGTCTGATCCCCTATTCAAAATGACCCCTACCTCCACCAAATGCAGCCCAACTGCAGTTTGCAAGGCTGTCCACAGAGTTCCTAAATAGTGCACATGGCCAGGTACTCTCTGTTCATGTCCACCCAGAGGTACCTCAGAAGAAAAGCCTGGTGACCTGCTTCTGAAAAATCAGCCATTGAAAGCCCTGTAGAGCATAGGTCTGCTCATTCACCTGGCATCACCATGAGCTAAGCCTAAGGCTGCTGTGGGCCAGCAAGGATGCCCCTCTCACTCCTGGGGGAATCAGGGTGGGCCACTCAGAGGTGGCCTGGGAATTGGGTCTTTAAGGTCAAGTGTTCCTCATCTCTGTCTGTTGTCTAGATGTGGTCACCATGCAAGCAAAGTCCCCTCCCCTGCTTAAACCACTTCAGCCCTAGCAACCACACTGGGGTGAAATGGGGGAAGGGACCGTTGTCCCACCCTCCCGGGTCTATGTCCCCTCCAGACAGCAGTGACAGTGAGCTGGAGCTATCCACAGTGCGCCATCAGCCAGAGGGACTGGATCAGCTGCAGGCACAGACCAAGTTCACCAAGAAGGAGTTGCAGTCTCTCTACAGGGGGTTCAAGAATGTGAGTGCTCCCCATGCCCCCAGGGTGGGCCCTACAGACCCAGGTCCAGGCAGGAGGGACCTTCTAGAAACCTCCAAGGCAAGTAAATGCCCCAGTAAACATTCTGTTATGGGAGAGCAATTGGGAGGTGGGGGGGGGGGGAGGTGTAAGCCCCAAATCCAAGGCCCTGCATTATTTCCCAGTTTCTCCAGTGTTGGCTGATGCAGGGAGTGAGTGTTTGGAGGGGTGGTTTTGGCATGAGGGTCCAGCCATCCCCCTTCCTACCTACTTCCTTCCTGCCTCTCACCCTGCCCTTACCCCTCCCCAGCCCCTCCCCAGTGGAGCCCAGCAATGCCTCAGGCACCCCCAGAGGGAGAAGAGAGGCCAGGCATTGGGGCATGGAGCTGGGGGGTACGAGGTCACTGAAGGGCTAAATTCCTGCTGCAGGAGTGTCCCACAGGCCTGGTGGATGAAGACACCTTCAAACTCATTTACTCACAGTTCTTTCCTCAGGGAGGTGAGTGTGAGGCCAGGCCCCTGTGACCCCTCTGGAAGCCCCCACAGTGGGTGGGCGTCCCTTCTACCGTGGGACACAGCAGGGAGGAGGCCTCGCCTCCATCCTCCTCTCCCTGCCTGGTGCCACCTCTGTTCCACTGGCAGGGAGGACATAACTGGGACCAACCCAGGGGGGCTGCCCGGGTGGGGCAAGGGCTTCCAGGAGACCCAGACACACCCAGCCCTGGCCCTTCCTCTCCCCAGATGCCACCACCTACGCACACTTCCTCTTCAATGCCTTTGATGCCGACGGGAATGGGGCCATCCACTTTGAGGTAGGTCCCTGCTGACCCCTCCACATCCCCTGCCTCTGCCGTTGCCTGGGGTGAGCCAGGATCCTGGGGGTAAACTGCTCAGTGCATTACCTGGGAGAGGAGTGGAATGTGCTGGGCTGACCCCAGGCCTGACTTTGGTGTCAGTGAAATTCCATTTTGCTATCTGGTCATCTTATCTCAGCCTTTTCTGTCATTGAGCCCCACCCAGCAAAGCAAGCTGCTGATTTGTGAGGACCCAAAGCAAATTTGCATTTTAACTGGGGGCAAGGTTTAACTCAAAAGTGAGGCTTACTGATGTTGGGATGTCAGGCAGACAGAACATTCCAGCCTGGGCCCCATCAGCGAAGTCTGTTAGCCCCCCTATCAGGAAGGACAACCCTGCCCCCAGGAGACAGCCGGGTCTCCACCCAGACCTGGCTGCACAGCATCATTGGAGAGAGGCTCCCCCGGCTGTGGAGCCCAAGCACCTAAAAATAGTTGCAGACCAAAAGCTGAAACCTCTTCAGAGAGGAAACCTTGGCAAGAGCTGGGCCTGATCGATACCCAACCCAGCTCAGATTCCAGGGTCAAGGGCAGCTGACAGGAAAGTGGCGGAGCCCCTGGAGAAGCTGCGGTGTAATAATAACCACGTCAATAAAGCTGCCGGGTTATTTTTATGCCGCAAGCGTAGCACACTGACATGGGGCGGGGTGGGCACAGCCCAGGCCCCACACGGTTCGGTTCTGTGACTACAGCAGCCCCACCGTTTGGGCCTCCTGTTTAGGGCTGTTGCCTGTGTAAACAGACAGTGGTTTCATAGCTTTTATGTAAGTGACAACTGCACACAATAGAACGTCCCATCAGTACAAAGGAGTAAGCAGTGAAAAGGCATTTCCTTCTCAGCCTTCCTCTGTGACCAGTCAGTTGCTTGTATACCTTTAAAGAGACAACTGATACTTGTTGGGATAAAATGTGTGAAGGGCCCACCCAGGGTTTTGGTTGGTGTTTTTTTCTTGATGCTATTTTTTAAGAATGTATTATGGTAAATATAAATAACAAAATATTTGTCATTTCAACATACCTCACAAGTGATTCAGCAGCATTCATTATGCATAGCATTCATTATGTTCATCAGCACAACCACCATCTTCATCTGCTTCCAAGTTTTTCTCTCACTCTTAGCAAAAACTCAGTGTTCCCTGCACAGTGAATCTCTTTTCCACACCCCCATTCCTCTCCCCTCGCTCTGCTGCTTATTCATCATCAAAGCTGCCCGATAAATAAGGAAGACTGAAGAAGAATTGATGCCTTCGAATTATGCTATTGGCAAAGAGCTGCCCAAAGACTCAGTAAAGCTGTCTTGGAAGACGTACAGCCAGATTGGTCCTTACAAGTGAGGATGCCGAGACTTGGTCTCCTGGACTTTGGACATGTTAGCAGGAGGGACCAACTCCTGGAGAAGGACATTATGTTTGGTAAAGTAGGTGGGCAGCGAAAAAGAGGAAAACCCTCAACCAGGTGTACTGAGACCATGGCAACAACATCCGCCTCAAACGCAGTAACAAGTGTGAGGAGGAGTGTTTCATCTGCCATACATAACGTAGTTATGAGTCAGAACTCACTAGACAGCACCTAACAACAACAACTTCTGCCCCTGGTAACCACTAATAAAGTTAAGTCTGTATCCACTATTCTAAATAGTTTATTTTGTTGTGGTTGTTGTGAAGTATCATCAAGTTGGTTCTGACCCATAATGACCTGGTATAAGATTTCCAAGGAGTGACTGGTGAGCTTTGGGGTTTAAATTATTTTTCCTATTTTAATTGACTCATTTCATTAGCATATTGTTTTCAAGGTTCATCCATATTCTTATGGATTGAATTGCAGTCCTGGTTTGACGCCTTTGGGTAAGCACTCGAACACAAGATCACTTTGAACCATGAAGTTAGTGGTTCAAACTCACCAGCGGCTCCTCAAAAACCCTATACAGACTCTCTATGAGTCAGAACCAACTTGATGGTACTTAACAACAACAATATGGATAAAATTATGTCTCCCACAAAATATGTCTTTTAAATCCTAAACTCTCTGGCTATGGCCCTAATCATATTTGGGAATGGGTTGTCTTTGTTACATTAATGGGGCAGGATTGTAAAAGGTTAAGCAAGATTGTTAAGTAATTTCTTTAGAGATATAAAAGAGATCAAACATTCAAGAGAAGCAGAGATTGGGGAAGATTGATGTCAAGGTACATGGAGGTCTCCAAGGAACCAGGAAACAGAAGCTGAAGAGACAAGGACCGGATTTCCTCCTTCTAGGGGAAGACACTTCCCACAGAGCCACAAGTCTGAATTCAGACTTCTAGCCTCCTAAACTGTGAAAAGATCCATTTCTGTTCATTAAAGATATCCACTTGTGGTATTTGTTATGTTGTTGTTGATAAGTGCTGTCCAGTCAGCTCTGACTCATAGTGACCCTGTGTAGGAGTTCCAAGGAGTGGCTGGTGAGTTTGAACCACTGACCTTGTGGTTCAAACCAATCTTGCGGTCCAGTGCTTTATCCCACAGTGCCACATGAGGACTCCACATTTCCATTAATAGCAGCACTAAATAACTAAGACACACGCTGTGGCATGTATCAGAACTCCATTTCTCCTTATGTTGTTGTTGTTGTTAAGTGCCATCCAGTCGGTTCTGACCCATAGCGACCCTGTATAGGGTTTCCGAGGAGCAGCTGGTGAGCTTGAACCACCAGCCTTGCAGTTCAAATAGCTTTGCAGTCAGGTGCATTAACCCACAGCACCACACCAATATTCAACGTATGTGTGAACTACATTTTGTTTATCCATTTGTCAGTTGATTGGCTTTGGAGTTATTGCCACCTTTCTGATATTGTGAATAGTGCTGCAATTAACATTGGTGTACGTGCCACTGTTTGTGTTCTTACTTTCAATTATATGGGTTTATACCTAGGGATGGAATTACTGGATCTTATGGTAACCTGGAATCCTAGTGTGGCACTGTAGGATAAGAACTAGACCATAAGTTCGATTTGAACTGCAAGATTGGCAGTTCAAACTCTAGTCACTCGTTAGAGACCCTATATGGGGCCCCCATGAGTCGGAATCGACTCAATGGGCACTTAACAACAACAATGGTGATTTATGTTTAACTTTTTGAGAAACTGTCAAGTTGTTTTCCACAATGGTGGCACCATTTACAGACATACCAATAATGAATGACGATTACAATGTCTCTGCTTTCTGGTCAACACCTGTTGCTTTCTATTTTTTCAAATCATTGCTATCTTAATGGATGTGAAGTTCAGAAATGATAAGATTTAAGGTTAGCAAAGCTTAGGAAAAGACCTGGAGTCAGAAAACCAAAAAGGAACAACACACTCAGCATTTCTCAAGCTGGGGGAACTGAAGAAAAAATTCAAGCCTCGACTTTCGTTATTGAAGGATTCTCTGAGCGAATTATTGAATAATACAGAAAGCATCAAAAGAAGATGGAAGGAATACAGAGAGTCACTGTACCAAAAGGAAATGGTTAATGTTCAACCATTTCAAGAGGTAGCATATGATCAAGAGCCAATGATCCTGAAGGAAGAAGTCCAAGGTGCATTGAAGGAATTGGCAAAGAACAAGGCACCAGGAATTGATGGAATAAAAATTGCAATCTTTCAAGAAAGTGAGGCGGCACTGGAGGCACTCATTCATCACTGCCAAGAAATTTGGAAGACAACTTTCTGGCCAACTGATTGGAAGAGATCTGTATTTGTGCCCATTCCAAAGAAAGGTGACCTAATGGAATGCGGAAATCATTGGACAGTATCTTTGATATACCATGCAAGTAAAGTTTTATTAAAGGTAGTACAGAAACGTCTACAATCATACATTGACAGAGAACTTCCAGAGGTTCAAGCTAGATTCAGAAGAGGATGTGGAATGAGGGATATCATTGCTGATGTCCGATGAATATTGGCTGAAAGCAGAAAACACCAGAAAGATGTTTACTTGTGCTTTATTGACTATGCACAGGCTTTCGATTGTGTGGATCATGACAAGCTATGGACAACATTGCAAAGTATGAGTATTCCGGAACACTTAATTTTGCTCAGGAGGAATCTGTACATGGACCAAGAGGCAGTTGTTCGAACAGAACACGGGAACACTGGATGGTTTAAAATTAAGAGAGGTGTGCGACAGGGTTGTATCCTTTCACCATACTTATTCAACCTGTATGCTGAGCAAACAATCCGAGAAGCTGGGTTCTGTGAAGAAAAACGTGGCATCAAGATTGAAGGAAGACTCATTAACAATCTGCGATATGTAGATGCTACAACCTTGCTTGCTGAAAATGAAGAGGACTAAAAATATTTACTGATGAAGATCAAAGACTACAGCCTTGAGTATGGATTACATCCCAATGTAAAGAAAATAAAAATCCTCACCACTGGACCAATAAAGAACATTTTTATCAATGGAGAAAAGACTGAAGTCGTCAAGGACTTCATTCTTCTTGCATCAACCATCAATACTCATGGAAGCAGCAGTCAAGAAATCAAATGATGTATTGCATTAAGCAAATCTGCTGCACAAGACCTTTTTAAAGTGTTGAGGAGCAAAGATGTTCGGTTGAGGACTAAGGTGCGCCTGACCCAAGCCATGGTATTTTCAATAACCTCATATGCATGTGAAAGCTGGACAGTGAATAAGGAAGACCATAGAAGAATTGAAACATTTGAGTTATGGTGTTGGAGGAGAATGCTGAAAGTGCCTTGAACTGCCAAAAGAATCAACAGATCTGTGTTGGAAGAAGTGCAGCCAGAGTGCTCCTTGGAGGCCAGGATAGCCAAACTTCGTCTCTCATACTTCAGACATATTGTCAGGAAGGACCAGTTGCTGGAGAAGGATCTCATGTTTGGTGGAGGTTCAGAGAAAAAGAGGAAGACCCCCAGTGAGATGGATTGGCAAAATGGCAGCATCAATGGGTTAAAGTGTGGCAACAATTGTGAGGTTGGCCCAGGACCGGGCAGTGTTTCATTCTGTTGTACCTAGGGTCACTATGAGCTAGTATCGACTCGATGACACCTAACAAAAACTTAGGAATATCCTTACCACTCTCCTCATCTTCCTTGTGGTCTGTGGTCCCTTTAAGGTGGTAGATGGGAGGATCTTGGGGTATGGGGCTATGCTGTTATTGGCTGAGTTGGAAGCACCCATTAGGAGCCCTGGGCTAGGTGCCATGTCAGAAGGTGGTTCCTCCCAGGCCAGGGAATTGTCACAAAGGCATCATCCTGGGCCTTCCCCACCTCCAGGAACTTCCTGATTTTAAGTGCTCTGTTTTACAGTGAAGGAGCCATGGTAGTGCAGTGGTTAAGCACCCAACTTGTAACCGAAAGGTCAGCACTTTGAGTCCACCAGCTTTCCCTGAAGAAAAAGATGTGGCCCCCTGCTTCCTTGGAAACCTTATGGGGCAGTTCTACTCTGTCCAAAGCCACTAGGAGTCAGAAGCAACTCAACAACAAGTTTTGTTTGTTCCAAAATAGCTTTTTTTCCAAAAAGGAGAAGAGCCCACATCCTCCCACTTTAACGAGCTCAGCCATTTCCTTGTGAACTCACAGCAGAGGTGGGGATCCCAGTGGTCGGAAAGAAGCCCCCGTTGGAGGAAAATGAAAAAAAAAAAAAACAAGATCCATTGTCATCAAGTCAGTTTGAACTCCTGGTGACCCCATGTGTGTCAGAGTAGAATTGCTCCATAGTGTTTCAGTGGCTGTGATCATTCAGAAGTAGAAAGCTAGTCCTGTCTTCTGAGGTGCCGCTAGGTAAAACTGAACCACCAAGCTTTCAGCTAGTAGCTGAGTGCTTAACTATTTACACCCCCCAGGGACTCCTCTGCCTTGGGGTGGGGGCACAAAACCTGGTTCTGTTTGGAAGCATCCAAGGACATTCAACCATGCCTTGGAGCCTGCCAACCAGCCCTATAAAACAGAAGGCAAGTCTGATCATCAATATTTACCATTCACCCAATCCTTTTTACTTAGTACTGAGAGATGAAACACATGCTCATTAGTTTACTTACATGGTAAAAATAGGATAATTCCCCTCTCCTCACCAGAATGACTACCAAAAATTAAAGGCAAAACAAGCAAACCTCACAGGAGCTGAGCCAGAGACAAGTGCTCATTTCACATCAGGGTCTCACTGCCACTGAGTCGATTCTAACTCATGAACTGCCCGAGGGTTTCCAAGGCTAAAAAGCGTTACCAATGCAGACTACCACCACATCTCCCCCTGGAGCAGCTGGTGGGTTCAAACCACTGATCAAGACTCCTTCATTCAACTAAAACTTAGATAGGGGCAAAGCTTTTAAAGTTATTACAGTTGCTCTTCAGTACATGCAGATTTTGTGTTTGCATATTTATCTTGTTGTTGTTGTTGTCAGGTGCCATCGAGTCAGAACCGACTCATAGCGACCCCATGCACAGCAGAACGAAACAATGTCCGATCCTAGGCCAACCTCACTACCGCTGCCACACTTGAGTCCATCAATGATGCCACCTGGCTGATCCATCTCGTTGGGGGTCTTCCTCTTTTTCTCTGACCCTCCACCCTACCCAGCATGACATCCTTCTCCAACGATTGTTTCCTCCGGACAATATGTCCAAAGTAGGAGAGACGAAGCTTAGCCATCCTGGCCTCCGAGGAGCACTCTGGTTGCACTTCTTCCAAAACAGATCTATTGGTTCTTTTGGCAGTCCATGGCACTTTCAGTATTTTCCTCCAACACCACAACGCAAAGGCATCAATTCTTCTACGATCCTCCTTATTCACTGTCCAGCTTTCGCATCCATAGCATATTTATCTATTCACTAAAATTTATTGTAAAACTATCACCACCAGCAGCCCACCCCCATCAATATAGCACTTCCATGGACATTCACAGACATGAACCGAGCAGTGAGAAAGTTGAGTCTCCCAGCATGCAGTTTCCTTGCTGAGCTAGAGCAAAGAAAGCTATAATCAGCCTTCTTGCTTCAGTTCATACAGTAAACAGGTATCCATCACCATCTGTTTAGTACCACATTTTTTGTACTTGTGCTCTTTTTGTTGGTGATTTTGCTGATTAAAATGTCCCCCAAGTGTAGTGCTGAAGTGCTGTCTATTGTCCCTGTGATGTGCCGTATGGAGAAAATAAATGAGTGAGATAAGCTTCCTTTAGGCATGAGTTCAATGTTAATGAATCAACAATACATATTAAATAAGGCATACTGGAGTCCTGCTGTGGCACTGTAAAATAAGCATCAGAATTCTAACCGCAAGTTCAGTTCCAACCCACCAGACATTCTTTGGAAACCCTATACAGAATTGCTATGAGATGAAACTGACTCCAAGTCACTTAACAACAGCAAACAGAAACACATAAAAAAAAAAACAGGTTGATGGAAATGTGACCAGAGGCTTGCAGGAAACGAACCCTGTATTTCCATCTAGGAGCAGCAGCCCAGTATTTTCTAATTCCGTTTACAGTGACCTTACAGAACACAGCTACTATAAGTAAAGAGAATCAGCTGTATGTAGGATGCCGGTGCCTTTTCAGAGCCTGGGATAAAGCCAGGCAGCTCAAATGGAGGCCAGGCTCATGTCAGGAGAAGGTGGTGGCTGCCTCTCTTCTCTCTCCCACTGCAGCAATCGACTGCTCCCTGTGTTCAGTAACCAATGCAGACACCTCCATCCGCCAGAGTGAGTGCAGCTACCAGAAGGATGAATTCACCTGTATCCACACAATATCCTCAATGCAAAGAAATCAAAAAGCCTACAACTGGACCCACAGGTAACATCATGATAAATGGAGAAAAGACTGAAGTTGTCAAAGACTTCAGTTTGCTTGGATCCACAATCAATGCTCATGGAAGCAGCAGTCAAGAAATCAAATGACGTGTTGCATTAGGCAAATCTACTGCAAAAGGCCTCTTTAAAGTGTTAAAGAGCAAAGATGTCATTTTGAGGACTAAGGTGCGCCTAACCCAAGCCAAACTCATGCTCATGTGAAAACTGGGCAATGAATAAGGAAGGCCACTGAAGAATGATGCATTTGAGTTATGGTGTTGGAGGAGAATATTGAAAGTGCCATGGGCTACCAAAAGAAGAAACAAATCTGTGTTGGAAGAAGTACAGCCAGAATTCTCCTTAGAAGCCAGGATGACGAGACTTCGTCTTTCATATTTCAGACATATTATCAGGAGGGACCAGCCCCTGGTGAAGGACATTCATATTTGGTAAAGTGGAGGGTCCGTGAAAAAGAGGAGAGCCCCAATAAGATGTATTGAAACAGTGGCAGCAACAACGGGCTCAAACATGAGGAGAATCGTGAGGAAGGCGAACGACCGGGCAGCGTTTCATTTTGTTGTGCATAGAGTTGCTATGAATTGGCACTGACTCAATGGCACCTAACAAGAGTGGTGACGAATGCACAGCACGATGAATGTAATCAATTGTCACTGAATTGTACATGCAAGAAGTGTTGAGTTGGCAAATGCTGTATATGTTTTTACAACATTAAAACAAAAAAAGAGATACAACGGGATGGAGGAGTTTTAATTTCGTCACTTGTATACCCCCCTGATTTAAAGATATTTAAATAGATTCACAGGGTTTGTTCTGGACAAACAGCAGTTACCAGCCAGTTCTCTCACAAGAGCCTCTCTTTGTACTCAGCTGTCTTGGGTTTTATACTGCTCTGTGCCCGCAGGCTAGCCTGCAGACTTTTCTCGGCACTGCACTAGGCCCTCAGTGGAACCCGGAAGCTTCCAGCTTTCCATTGAAGCCATTTTCTTTCATGATCCCTGTGACACACTTTCCTCCCCACATTCTCTGGTTCTTCCTGGAACGCCTGATGTTCCCATATCAGAGCCTCTGATGGGGACCTCCCATCACTCCGTCGTTTCTCTCCTATTTTCTAGCTCTTTGCCTTTTCACTCCACTTTATGGAAACTTTTTCAGCTTGTTCTCCCAACCTTTCTTTGGAGTTTGTCATTTTGTTTATATTTAATTCCCAAGAGCTCATTCTTGCTCTAGGTTATTCCTTTTTCATATATAACATCCTGTTCTTATTTGGGGCATGCAAGGTTTCTCGTCGCTGAGTCTATTCATTTTACTTTTAAGCTTGTTTTTTTCCTTCCTGACATAATCTTTGTTTCTTCCCAATGGCTTTCTCTGTTTCCCTTGGTCTTTCTTTCTCATGCTATAGGCTTCCTCGGATCCAGAAAATCTGACAAATCTTTGAGTGAGGACTAGAGTCCCTTGGTTCAGTGCCCTGTCCCCCTCCCCCCACTTCCTTGGGATGCCCCTTTCTCTGCTCGACTTTTCCCCAATAGACCAGGAAGACCCCATGGGGCATGGGAAGTTTAATCTCCAAATCTTCCAAGAGGCAAAGGGAAAGACTTGCTTTCTACCAACTGTTATAATAAAGTAATTGAAGTATTCACATTAAAATTTAAAAATCCATGTCTTGTCACTTGAGTGACACATTATAATTACACTTCAGAGGTGATTGCAACACACAGGTATGTCATGACCCCAGCATTGATTGCTATTAGTTTAGTTTTTTTTTTAAAAAGGGATGTATTTTTAGGTACCTTTGAGGTGTACACGCTTGATAAACTAAGAGCACCCTCTTTACTAAGAGAGGACCCCTCTAGGTCTTCTCTGTCACCAGAGATACATTAAATGGGTTCAAGACACCATATATCAGATCTCTTCTTTGAAGACATTAGTGAAAGCTATCCACACCATACTCACTCACTGGGTTCACCTGAAGGGCTGTCATCTCACTGATCTGTTATAGGGACACCTCTCCTGTAGATTTCAGTGGAAGCCACACAATGCACTGGAAGTTGAATCTGGATGCTAAAGTCTTATTCCTTGCCCTCCCTGTCCTCCTTTATTACCTTAGGACTTTGTGGTGGGCCTCTCCATCCTGCTGCGGGGAACAGTCCATGAAAAGCTCAAGTGGGCCTTCAATCTCTATGACATTAACAAGGATGGATACATCACCAAAGAGGTACCAAGGTGGAGGGGACAGCATCTTCCCTACTGTTGCCCTGCACTCTTCTTCCTTCTTCTCCTCACTCCTGTGGTCCCACCTGTGCTGTCTCCCTGCTCCATGCAGACACATGGCTTTCAGCCTGACCCTGGAAGACAGACTGCCTCTGGGCTCTCAGTCTCTTCTGCCCATGCCCTGACATTTGGGTGCAGGAGTGTGGGATTGTGCCCCACCATGTATCACGATCCAGTTCCCAGATCATCCTTTCTCATGGAGAGAGCCTAAGGGAGACCCCATGGAAAAACAGCACCTAGCTTTGGCTCCAGCAGAGCAAAGGAGTATGGCCCCTTAAGGCAGAGCTGCAAATGGGGGCTTTCTACACAAAACCCACAAATGGGTTTCTCAGATTTTTCAGGTATCTGAAGTCATTGCTGCAAATTCAAAGTATAGAGTTTGCACTTAAAAATCTATCTCCACCTTCTCTTTGAAAGTCAGGGGTCCTGGTCTTGGCCTGACTGGACAAGCACGCAGACTCCTGTCTCCTCGCTCGCATACCTTCTCCACCCTTTGGTGCAGCCCCTTCCCTTTGGGAACCTGGCTCTCCCTCATGTCAGCCCTCTGGTCCCCTCCAGGAGATGCTGGCCATCATGAAGTCCATCTATGACATGATGGGTCGTCACACCTACCCCATCCTGCGGGAGGACGCGCCTCTGGAGCACGTGGAACGGTTCTTCCAGGTGAGAGTGCTCCAGACCAGGGTGGTTGGGGATGGGATGGGGGAAGGGTAGCCTAATAGAGAAAGGCACTATTGCTCTTGGAACAACTCTGAGCCTTCCTCCATGAGGTGGTTAAACTTGCCTCCCAAACCTGGCTGCTAGTTAGAATTTGCCACAGAGTAAATGAAAAATACCATCCCAGCTCCACTGAATCACATTTCAGGGGTAGATTGGGGCTTTTGAAGCAGCTGGCCACGGTCCTGGGGCCTCTCAAAATCACTTCTAGCTCTTACAGAGAAGCTCCTGACACAGGAGTGGGGTTGGGGAGTTGACTGTCCTATGTTCATGAAGGTGGGAACCCCACAATGCAGGTTGAAGGGCCTGAAGGCTCAGCCCCTCACTTCTTGGGAGCTTTAGTTGCTCTATCTGTTCCATCTGTGGGGACACTTTCTAAGAAGTTCACCCCTAGGTAGGTAGTTAGGGAAGTAGCTGAGGTAGGGGCAGAATAAGGAGATACCTAAGAGGTCAGCTATGGAGGTAAATGTTGGCATTAGACAGGCCTTCATGTGGCCTAGATCCAGGGTGGGGGCTGAGGGGACGAGTTGAGTGGGATTTTGGTGTTCTGTGATGGGAGGCATGGAGCTGGGTGCCACCCACTGGATGCTCATCCACAACCACATCCTCGGGCATTGGGCAGAGGCCATACCTGATGGTTCACAGACTCACCAGGACCTTGTGCAACTTGTGTTGCAGAAAATGGACCGCAATCAGGATGGGGTGGTGACCATTGACGAATTCCTGGAGACCTGTCAGAAGGTAAGCAGCCTTAGAAAGCTTGGAGCAAAGTCCTCTGCAGGTTCTGGCCAGAAGTGGGTGCTTGAGGGTCTCATATCTTCCCAGGGTCCCCACACATCCAGTCCTAGGGCTTCTCCCCACCTCCCAGGTGAGTTAGAGCAGAGGGCTCTAAGCTTCAGTTGAACTCTTTGGTTAAGTTCATCTCCTGTCCAACCCCACCCTCACCCACTTCTCCCAATGTCCTTCCATTGCACTGTTTCCAGTCAAGGGGGGCAGAGCCAACAGGTGGGTGATTGGCCCTTGTGGTCCTCAGGAGAGGATCACACTAGGGGCTGGCACCACCCAAAACCTCTCCCACCACCACTCATCTGTCAGTTTGTCGTACTCTGGTGTTTTGCGTGTTGCTGTGATGCTGGAAGCTACTCCGGCAATATTTTAAATACCATGACGAACAGGTTTCAACTGAGTTTCCAGACTAAGAGCGACTAGGAAAAGGAAGAAACAGACTATTTCCAAATATTTAGTCACTGAAAACATTATCAGTAGCAATGGAACAATGTCAGATAGCATCAGAATATTGCGTACTGAAACATGATGAAGAGCACTAGAATATTGTCAGATATAGTGCTAGAAGATGAGCCGTCAGGTTGGAAGGCACTCAAAATACGACCTTTTCCCCAAAGTAGAGTTGACCATGATGACATAAATGGAGTATACCTTTCAGGACTTTCATTTGCTGATGGTACACAAATGAGTTTCTCTCATCCAAATGAGGAGAAACAGCTGTAAACATCCATTAATAATCAGATCATGGAATGTACAAAGCATGAGTCTAAGAAAATTAGAAATTGTCATAAATGTAATGGAGCACATAAACATCGATATCCTAGACATTAGTAAGCGGAAATGGACTGGTATTGGCCACTTTGAATCTGACAATCACATGGTTTACTATGCTGGGAATGACAAATTGAAGAGGAATGGTGTTGCATTCATTGTCAAAAAGAACATGCCCAGATCAGTCATGAGGTACAACGCTGTCTATGATAGGATAATATCCATGCGCCTACAGGAAAAACCAGGTAATACCACTATTATTCATAGTTACACACCAACCACTAAAGGCAGTGAGGATGAAATAGAAGATTTCTACCAAATTCTTCACTCTGAAATTGATCAAACATGCAATCAGGATATACTGATAATCACTGGCGATTAGAATGCAAAGGTTGGAAACAAAGAGGAAGGATCAGTAGTTGGAAAATATGGTCTCGGTGATAGAAATGATGCTTGAGATCACATGATAGAATTCTGCAAAACCAATGATTTGTTCATTTCAAATACCTTTTTTAAACAGCATAAGAGACTACTATACACATAGACCTCAACAGATGGAATACACAGAAATCAAATTGAGTACATCTGTGGAAAGAAACAGTGGAAAAGCTCCATATCATCAGTCAAAACAAGGCTAGTGGCAGATTGTGGAACAGACCATTGATTACTCATATGCAAATTCAGATTGAAGATGAAGAAAACGAAAACAAGCCCACAAGAGCCAAAATATGACCTTAAATATATCCCACCTGAATTTAGAGATCATCTGCAGAACAGATTTGATACATTAGACACTAAACACTGAAGACCAGAAGAGTTGTGGGATGACATATACAGGAAGAAAGCAAAAAGTCTTTAAGAAGACAAGAAAGAATGCAGAGATCAAAATGGATGTCAGAAGAGACATTGAAACTTGCTCTCCAATGTAAAGATGCTAAAGCAAATGGACGAAACGAGGAGGTACAAGAGCTGAACAGAAAATTTCAAAGGTCAGCTCAAAAAGACAAAGCCAAATATTATAACAAAATGTGCAAAGATCTGGAGTTAGAAAACCAAAAGGGAAGAACACGCTCAGCATTTCTCAAGCTGAGGGAATTGAAGAAAAAAATTCAAGCCTTGGCTTTTGTTATTGAAGGATTCTCTGAGCAAATGATTGAATGATACAGAAAGCATCAGAAGGTGTAAGGAGTCACTGTACCAAAAGGAAATGGTCAATTTTTTAATTATTTTTTTTTAAGGATAAAAGGCCTTATTGTGCAAATTCTATAGCAGGCCTCCAGGTTGGCAGGGAGCCAAGTCCATACCCTAGGCCTGTCCTGGTTCCTGCCTGTTTTCTGTCCCCACTTTGGCCTGAGTGTTAGGTTTCCCTGAGGAGTGTGCAGGTGTCTGGAGCGTGCAGTGTGTGTGGCACTGAGAACACTGAGGCACTCAAGAAGCAAGAAGGACAGCTAGGTGGTGAGAACCCCATGGCCCAGCTCAGGGGCCACCACACATGACCAAGCAGTCCTCCCCACTGCAGAACACATGGTAGATGCTGGTGGGAGGGAACATGGCCACAGCCCCAAGCAGGGAGCCCACCTGGATGGCCACACCTGCTGCCAGCAGTTCTAGCCGCCCACCTCCATGTAGCAGGGAGCTCGCTGCCACCTTCATGTAGGAGAACAAGCCCAGATGCAGCACCCATGACACCACCACAAGGACTACTCCTACAGAGGTGCCCACCAAGGGTGGGCAGGGACTTAGGACTGCCAGTGTCATCAGGAAGGCCCCAAAGAGCACACCCAGCAGAGAAAGAGCAGCCAAGACTGCCAGGGACCTGCACAGCACGCCCGTGGCCAGGAAGCAGGCAAATGGGTTGGCGGTGCTGTCCAGCACCATGGCCAAGTGGTAGGCCAGGAGCCCATAGGGGAGGCAGAAGAAGCTCTGTACAGCGGGCAGTACACTACTGGTCAGCGCATTGGTAACAGTCAGAAGGCTCAGCAGACAGCCACTGTGGGCTGACAGCAGTCCATGGGCCTTGGGGTTGGGGCTGGGGGTGGTGCCTGCTGCCTGGTTCAGTGACTCCTATAGGGGCAAGACCTCTTTCTCTCCCTCCCCACCCTCAGGACCAGCTCTTGGGGCCCCCACTCTAAGAACATCATACAGGAACAAAGCAAAAAATCATTAACAAGGCAAGAAAGAAGGCAAAGACCAAAATGGATGTCAGAAGAGACTCTGAAACTTGCTCTTCAGCGTAGAGGTGCTACTGCAAATGGAAGAAATGAGGAGGTAAAAGAGCTAAACAGATAATTTCAAAGGGCAGCTCGAGAAGACAAAGTCAAATATCATAATGAAATGTGCAAAGGTCTGAAGTTAGAAAACCAAAAGGAAGAACAAACTCAGTATTTCTCAAGTTGAAAGAACTAAAGAGAAAATTCAAGCCTCAACTTGAAATATTAAAGGATTCTATGGGCAAAATGGAGCCCTGGGGTGGCACTGTGGGCTAATGCACTGTACTGAAAAGTTGGTTTGAACTTCAGTGTTGGCAGTTCAAGCTCACCAGCCACTCCTTGGAAACCCTATACAGGGCCACCATGGATTAGAACCGAATCAACGGCATTTAACAACAACATGGGCAAAATAAATGATAAAGTGAATGATAAAGAAAGCATTAAAAGAAGATACAAGGCATACACAGAGTCACTGTACCAAAAACCAATGGTGAGGGGCGATAAAGGCACAAAGTGACTGGCTTACAAGTTTTCAAAGGGAGTTTAGTGTAACAGTGTGCAAGGGAAAATAGAGTTCCCCACTGAATAGTTTTCATCTTGTCTAGATGGGTCTGGTGAAAAGAGATGGGGATAAGATTCTTATAATTCAATGGTGAATAATTGTGACTGTCGCAACTGTAAAGGTAGATTTTTGTAACAACAATGGGGGAGTCATTAATCTTACAGTATAGAAATAGAAGACTCCAGGACCATCAAAAGAGAAGAGCACAAGCAGAGTGTGAGACCCAATCCAGAGAAGCAGTGACACCAGAGATGGAGACAGAGATGAGGACATGGAGAGAGGGAGCAGGTGAGGACTCTGGACTCATAGAAAGAGAGGGACTGGGTGCTGGCAGCCAGGAGGCAGGCTTGCAGAATGTGCCCTTTGGTTGTTTAAATTATTATATATTCCTGAGTGTTTCTGTGTACATCCCCCCCAAACAAACAAACAGGGAATGGAAGCAAATACTGTTGAATGATGATGCACGGAGGAGACTGTAATCACTGCAATGAAATGAAACAATGGTCTCCCATGGAAACTGTCACTCAGTTCACAATAAAAACTTACAAAAAAAAAAAAAAATCAATGGTCAATGTTCAACCATTTCAAGAGGCAGCATATGATCAAGAGCTGAAGAAATCCAAGGTGCACTGAAGGCATTGGCAAAGAACAAGTCTCCAGGAGTTGTTGGAATACAAATTGAAATATTTTAACAAACTGATTCAGCACTAGAGACACTTACTCATCTATGACAAGAAATTTGGAAGATAGCTACCTGGCCAACCGATTGGAAGAGATCAGTATTTGTGCCCATTCCAAAGAAAGGTGATACAATGAAATGTAGAAATCATCGGACAATATCACTAATATCTCATGCAAGTAAAAATTTGCTAAAGATAAGTAAAAAATGGCTGTAACAGCACACTGACAGAGGTTCAAGCCTGATTCAGATGAGGTTGTATAATGAGGGATATCACTCCTGATGTCAGATGGATCTTGGCTGAAAGCAGAAAATAACAGAACTATGTTACTCTCTGCATTATTGACTTTGCTAAGGCTTTCGACTGTGTGGATCATTACAAGTTATGGACAACTTTGCAGAGAATGAGTGTTTCATAACACTTAATTGTGCTTATGAGGAACCTCTACACAAACCAAGAGGCAGATATTCTAACAGAACAAGAGGACACTGAATAGTTTAAAATCAGGAAAGGTGTGGACCAAGGTTGTATTCTTTCACCATACTTACTCAATCTGTATGCTGAGTATATAATCTGAGAAACTGGATTATATGAAGAAGAACATGGCATCAGGATTGGAGGAAGACTCATTAACAACCTGCACTACGCAGATGATACAACCTTGCTTACTGAAAGAAAAAAGGACTTTTCAAATAGTTATTGATATAGACCCAAGACCACAGTCTTTGGTGTGAGTTACAACTCAATGTAAAGCAAACTGGACCAATAAATAACATCATAATAAATGGGGAAAAAAATTGAAGTTGTCAAAGACTTCGTTTTGCTCAGATCAACCATCAACACTCATGGAAGCAGCAGTCAAGAAATCAAACAATGTATTGCATTAGGCAAATCTGCTATACAAGACCTCTTTAAAGTGTTTAAGAGTAAAGATGTCAGTTTGAGGACTAAGGTGTGCCTGACCCAAGCCGTGGTATTTTCAATCACCTCATATGCATGTGAAAGCTGAACAGTGAATAAGGAAGACTGAAGAAGAATTGATGCTTTTGGGTTATGGTGTTGGAGGAGAATATTAAAAAGTACCATGGAGAAAAGCCAAAAGAATAAACAAATCTGTGTTGGAAGTACAAGCCAGAATGCTCCATAGAAGTCAGGATAGCCAGTCTTCGTCTCTCATACTTTGGACATATTATCAGGAAGGACCAGTCTCTGAAGAAGGACATCATGCTTAGTAAAGTGGAGGGCCAACAAAAAAGAGGAATCCCCAACTAAATGGATTGACATAGTGGTGGCAGTAATGGGTTAAAGCGTAGCAAGGATTGTGAGGTTGGCCCAGGTCTGGACAGTGTTTTATTCTGCTGTGCAAAGGATTGGTATGAGTCACTTACCTAACAACAACGAAACCTCTCCCAGCACTGACCTTCCTCTGCCAAGTCCATTACCAGGGGCAGGATACCCTCCCAGCATGGCTGCTTGGTGGCTTGTGGTCTCATTAGGGGCTGCGGCCAGGAAGGTCTTGCCATCCATCTAGCATGGAATCAGGCCTCTGGGTTAAATGACAGCTGGGTGGCCCCAGCTACTCTGCTCCTCAGCAACCCTGTCTTGCCCTGATGAGACAACAGCCACCACAGAGTGCGGAGTACCCAGGGTGGGATCAGACTAGAGCATATTCCCCACACCCTTAACCCAGCTGCCTGACCAGCCCTGCTTTCCTTTTCTCTTCACCCAGGACGAGAACATCATGAGCTCTATGCAGCTATTTGAAAACGTGATCTAGAACATGTATGTGGGGGCCCTAGGCTGGCCATGCCATCTCAACCCCCAGAGAAACCTCATCCTGCCGGGAACAATCTCCATGAGAAACTCTTTTTCTAATATATTTACAAAAGTGAACTGTTTGCTCCAGACACACACACACCCCATTCCTCAGGGCTGGCAGAGCGCAGCCAGTTCGCGGAGCTCTGAGTCTGGCTGGGAGTCGGGTCCAGGCCATGAGAGCCATGGGCCGGACTAGCAGTCCCCAGACCAATGGGAAGACACCTCCTTGGGGGTGAACAGCATAAAGAGCGGTGTTTTCTTGCCACAGGACCACTGGGTTTGTAGCAGGAAAGGGGTTTGAGCCGTCTCCAAAGCCAGCACCCTCTTTTATGGGCCCCACCTGCCCCTTCCTTCTGCCTGGCCCTCTCTACCACAGGGCAGGCCAGCTTCTGGGACTCTTGCGTCCTTGTAGCCCTCTTCCCCCAACCATTCCCTCTGCCCCCTGTATCCAGAGTGCCCCTCACCATCAGACCCTGAACAGGGCATTTTCAACTGGGAAAGAGGTGGAAATGAAGACATTCAGTTTATTCCTGGTTACCTGCTTTGGGTTCTGGGACGCCCACCACTCCACTGATCTGGGTAAGATCAGCTGCTCAGGACAGGTCTGCTGTGGAGCTCTCTTGGCAGGTAGGGGGCACCGAACTCCTCTCTGAGAGGGAAGGGGCCTTTTCAATTCCAGGGATTGGGGTTTTTGGTGCAGAGTCTGAGAGGAACTGTTTCCACTTGTGCTGGTTCCAGGAGAAGTCCTCCTTGGCCCAGTCCTGGCTCAGGGAATACAGTGAGTGGGTCTACCCACACCCCTCAGGTTCTAGACTGTCTGTTCCCTTTCTGGGCCTCTTTGGTCCTAGGAGGGGGCTGAGTGGCTTAAAGGTTGGCAGCAGGAAGCCCAGCTGGGCTTGGAGCCCGGCCTGGGAATGGCTGGTCCCCTCATTCTTTCCCCTCAGCGTGGCTGAGCACTCTCACCTGACGCAGTGTGGCCATCCCCTGCACAGGCTCACCCTAGTCCCATCAAAAAGCACAAGCACCCCAGCAGCTTAGGCCGCAGCCCACGAGGGGAGCCAAGGACACAGTTGTTCTGAGCCAAGACCCTCCTGGTGGACTGAGGCCTGGGTTCCAGCAGCCATGATACGGGTGACCACAGCAAAGAAGTACGGGGTCAGTCTGTGTCATAGAGCAGTGGGGCTCGAAGCCCAACCCTAGCCCAGCCTAGCTCACCAACACTCAAAAGCACAAACCCTGGGGATCTGGCTGGCTGAGTTGTGCTTTAGGGATGGAGGTCAGTGTCAGCAGAAACCTCCAGGAGGAGAGAGAAAGATGTTACTTCCACCTGCCCAGGCCATATGGACAAGGAACCCAGTCCCAGGCAACGTGGCCCTATGCCTGGACGGGAGACTCCCACGAGGAACATTCCGACAAAATACATTCCATCAGCTGCTGCCCCATTCTGCTCAGGCCCAACCCAGGAATCCTGGGCGCCCCAGAAGGCACAAGCCAGCTGCCCCAGATGAGCAAGGTCCCCAGAGGAAGGGTGGAAGGAAGAAGCCCTGGGGACCTAGCCACACTTGTTGGTCTTGGGGCCCCCACGGCTCCCACGTGCAGGTGATTTCCCCCCTTGGAGTCACACTGATAGTCATCTCTGTTCTGACCTGTCCCTGTCGCCTCCTCCAGGAGGACACCTGCTTTCCCTGGCTCAGGGATCTCCCCATACCCCAGCTCGGCCCTCTCAAGGAGCCCAGGCCATAGGAGAGGGGGCTCCTGCCCCTCTCAGCCTTGGGTTCCACTGGCTGTGACTCCACGCTGGGTGGAATGGGAGCACACTGGTCGCATGTCTGCATGGCAGAAGCGTCTCCCTTGGGTGCAGCCTGGGAGGTGGTTCCTGTTCTCAGCGCCCACCAACACTCAGTCTGGTATATTTTAATAAAATAAACTTGAAAAAGGAGAGAGACTGTTGTTGTCTTTGTTCTGACTCTAAATTTCTGGTCCCTGCTGCATTTAGCCATGGCTCCTACCCAGTGGAGTCCTGATGTGTCCCTGTGGGTTAATGTGCCAGACTGCAAAGCTGTTTGAACTGCAAGGTCGGTGGTGCAAGCTCATCAGCTGCCTCTTGGAAACCCTATACAGGGTCTCTATGGGTTGGAATCAACTCGACGGCACTTCACAACAATGACAGCACTGCCCAGTGGTGTGCTGGTAAGTGCTTAACAGCTGGCTTGGGAGAAGGGACAGGCCAAGTGACAGGACTGTGGGTTAATGTGCTACACTATGAAGTCAGTTTGAACTGCAAGGTCGGTAGTTAAAGCTCACCCGCTGCTCCTCAGAAGCCCTATACAGAGTTATGGGTCAGAACAGAGTCAATGGCACTTAATAACAACAACAGCACTCAATTTAAGTATAGATGGGGTGGCAAGGATGGCAGGGTGTCAGCCTCGAGCCTTTCTGAGAAGCTCTGGCCCTGGAAGATGTCAATGGAGGTGGGTGTCAGGGACTTGTTGAGGTGCCATTTGTGTTTCGTGCTAGATCATTGTCCTTTCTCAGCTCCAGGAAACCAGTTCTGGCTGTCCCCTTGTCTGGAAGGTACAAGTCATAGGGCAGATACAGTATTTGTCTTCCCTGGTTTTTATTTTCAAAAGTATAAACTCAGAGAGGGACGAGACCAGAAATGAATGCCTGGTAGGCACAAGCAGTTCCCAGGCTGGGGATGGGAGGAGAGGGTTCTGGAAAGGAACCTGTGTCAGTGCCCTGTTGTTGTCTGGTGTCCTCCAGTCGGTTCTGACTCAAAGTGACCCTCTACACAACAGAATGAAACACCGTCTATCCTGTGTCAACCTCACAATTGTCCTACTTGAGCCCATTGCTGCTGCCACTGTGCCAATCCATCCCGTTGGGGGTCTTACTTTCTTTCTCTGACCCTCCACTTTACCCAGCATGTTGTCCTTCTCCAGGGATTGGTCCCTCCTGATAATATGTCTGTAAGGACCTAACTGATTTTACCTGATTTTGCCTACCTAGAGACTGCTTGACTAAACTCTAGCCAGGCTCAGAAAAACATTTTAAATAGACAAGGCCTCGGTTTTTAGTTCCCTCCAGAGACAAGGTCAATCTCCATTCTGTACATTAGCCTGAACACATCCTCCTGTTCCAGAAACGTGCTAAATCAGCTCATGCTGCCTTAGAATATCCTTTCACCCCTAGCAACAGTGGGAACTAGATAAAGAATGCCAGATGTTTTCCTTTACCCTAGCCTAAGAACAAAGACCACCAGTCCTGACCAATTAAACTGTAACATCTCATAGTTTGCCAATTGTTAACCAATCCAAAGATTGTAAAGCTGAGAAACCTGAGCTGTTTGCAAACTCTATAAAAACCCTGCAGACAATAAGTTTGAGGCTCTTTCCCTATTCCACTGGGTCAGATAAGGTTAGAGACCTGGCTCGAGCTTGAATAAACTACCCTTATGTATTTACATCGTTACACGGCTCCTGGGTGGTCTTTGGGGACCCCGAATTCTGGGCATAACAGTCCTAGGTATGAGAGATGAGGTCTCACTATCCTGGCTTCTAAGGAGCATTCTGGTTGTGCATCTTCCAACACAGATTAGTTTGTTCTTCTGACAGTTTGTGGTACTTCTAATATTCTTCTTCAACATTATAATTCAAAAGCATCTCTATGGTCTTCCTTATTCATTGTCCAACTTTCACATGCATATGAGACAATTAAAAATACCATGGCTTGAGTAGGCGCGCCTTAGTCCTCAAACATATTTTTGCTCTTGAACATTTTAAAGAGGCCTTGTGCAGCAGATTTGCCTAATCCAATATGTTTCATTTCTTGATTGCTTCTTCCATGAATGGTGATTGTAAATCCAAACAAAAGGTCTTTGACAACGTCAATCTTTTCTCCATTTATTATGATGTTATTTGTTGGTCCCTGATTGTGCCATCAAATCAGTTGCGACTCATAATGACCTTATATAGGGTTTCCGAGGCTGTAAATCTTAATAGGAGGAGAAAGCCTCATCTTTCTCCCATGAAGTGGTTGGTAGATTTGAACTGCTGACCTTGAGGTTAGTAACCCAGCTCATAATCCACTATGCTACCAGGGTCATTAGGGCCAGAATCCAGGCCTTGTGACAGCTAATGACCTAAGACTCTTTAGCCCCCGTGGATTACAAGGTTTGGCTGTGGCTCAGAGACTCAGGAGTGCCAAAGGTTATACCTGAGATGCCAGGGCCTTGACCTTGATGTTTGGGATGGGATGTCTTGAGTTTGCTGTGGGCCATCTCTGGGGTGAGCATGTTCACCCCAGCCACAGCAGGTCTCCCAGACATTAAGGAGAAGAGCTAAAATCCTCCCCTAGGCAGGTGGCCCTTAGGCAGGTGTAGGCCCTGACCCATCCACTTCATGATAGACACAGCTCAATGGAGAACCTATCATCCATCTGCACATGCGTCCCCCTCTCCTCCTCAGTGCCTTTCTGTCCCGGCACTATGTGCAGAAGGGGCGGCAGGGCTGTGGTCTCCACGTGGTTGGTGGCAGTGAGGGGCCAGGAGGATGGGGTATCCCTTCTCTCTCTAGGTCTTGGTTTTCCTGTTTTTTTAATGATGAGCCAGATGAGCCCTTCTCAGAGTCCTGCCAGCTCTCAGTGACTTAACTGCAGGCAAGAGAGGCCTCAGGCAAGAGCCAAGTGACAGGGACAGGAAAATGTATCCAAAGCAAGGTGAGTGTGCTCTGGAGCTTGGAGGTGTATGGTGGGGCCTTTAGAGACTTTGGTGCCACTGAGGAGTTAGGGCTTCATCCATATGTCACAGAGGCCATGGCAGTCCCTGAGTTTGGCCAGTGTTGGGGACAGTAACAGGTGTTCCAGAGATGTGCATGTGTGTATATGCACGCAAAATGTGCAGAAAAGAGATGGATGGAGCATGGACCTTTGCATTGGTCCAAGGGCCCACCCAAGGCAGGA